TATGCCAAACCTAAGAGAAATTTTGAACAAAACAAAAAGTCTGAGAAATAAACAAGATGTCTTTGTTGTTGCTCTGTGCAGATTTAGCAAGTTAGAGCCACTTTTGTTTGAATTATGCATACTGAAGAAAATAGGGCCTTTGGGAAAAAACTGGGTAATGTTATTGAGTAACTTTGTCCTTTAATAAGTTGGATAAGTTAGTGTGCATTAGACAAGTCACATAATCTTGTTTTCTTGTCTCCTGGTCAAAAGTGTCTGTGAATCGATTCACTTTTCAATTCATTCCTAAATGTGAGGCTTGCTTTCTCTTTGCTACATTAGAAATGTGCTTCGTTTTCATCATCAAACCAGTCTTAGTTCAGATTGCAAAGTCCCCAGGAAAGTGAAGAATTCCAGTGTTTTGCAAGAATATGCTCTCATTAAGGAATGCTCATAAGAGGAAAACAAGAGCTCTGTTAACAGATTTCCCTGGAGCAGAGATGTGTGAAATCCCCTTCAGCGAGTATATGGATGTTGTCTCCTCTGCCGCAGACTTGATGAGCACGGGTGAACACAGGCCAGCAAGAGAATGGTGGCATGGGCAAGCCCCCTCACAATCTCTATAAGCCAACACTTATATGTGCTTATGAAGCCGTAGCCATTGTTCTAAATGCTCTACTTGTGCTTGTTCATTTCATACGACGGTAACCCTGTGAAGTAGGTGTTGTTATCCTATTTTACAGATAAGCAAACTGAAACATAACATGTTAAATCTACCCATGTTTATGGACCTGGTAAGTGGTTAAGCCAAATTTGAACTCAAGGAGTATGGATCCAGAAGCCCTGCTCTCTGCCACTCTGCTATACTGCCATCTCAGGAGACCATCAGGCAATTGATGAGAGCGGAAATAGACCAGTCACCCAACATTTACTGGGAGCCCACAATGCTAAATGCTGTTAGGGACTGAGGGGGAGAGTGTGTGAAATGCTGAGGACCTCATTGCTGCCCTTGCTCAGCTAACAAATAAGCAACTCACTCCAGGCAGAGTGAAACGTGTACTAGAACAGATGTCCTGGGAAGGAGGAAGGTAAAATATGAGCTAGCCTCTAAGAATAGGACTTGGATAGATAGGATTTTGGAGGAAAGCATTTCAGGTTCAAGCAACAGCATGGATTTCAGGGTGTGCAGAGTAGACACATTGGCCCAGATTGTGAGACATGCAGTAGGAAGATGTGTGACTCTTAGAACGCTCTGAATGCTATGCCAAGGTGTCTAAATCTGATTCTATAGGCCAGTGGTCGGCAAACTGTGGCTCGGCAAACTGCTATTTCAGGTTCAAGCAACAGCATGGGTTTCAGGGTGTGCAGAGTAGACACATCGGCCCAGATTGTGAGACATGCAGTGGGAAATGTGTGGCTCTTAGAATGCTCTGAATGCTATGCCAAGGAGTCTAAATCTGATTCTATAGGCAATAAGGAGCAATTTGGCTTTAGTTTTGGAGCATGATTTTGGAGATAGCATGGCGGAGTGTGGTCTAAGCAGGAGGAATGAGAAATTAAATCAGGGCAGTTTCAGAGACAAATGGAAAAACAGATGGTATGGTGGATATTGTAAAATGGCACCCAGACCTTCTTCAAGAATAAAGGCCTCAGCCTGGCCGACATGGCTCAGTAGTTGAGCATCGACCTATGAACCAGGAGGTCATGGTTTGATTCCTGGTCAGGGCACATGCCTGGGTTGTGGGCTCAATCCCCAATTGGGGGCATGCAAGAGGCAGCTGATCAATGATTCTCTCTCATCATTGATGTTTCTATCTCTCTCTCCTTCCCCCTTCCTTTCTGAAATCAATAAAAAAAAATATTTTTTAAAAAGGAATAAAGGCCTCACTATCCAAGTCACTGTGAATGCTGCCAACCGGGAGCCCTCAGCTGTACAGCCCCTTTGCCCATGGTCATGCCCTCTTTCTGGGGTGGTTGGCATCCAATGGCTGATTATTGTGGGAGATTTAAAGACCCTCTCACATCCTCTCACATAGCTCAGGACAGCTTTGAAGGATCATCACAGATTCAGAACTCCCTGCATGGCCATGAACTTCTTTCTCTGCCCGAGCCTGCTCCTTCTCTTCTCTTCAACAGCTGTTATCCCAAGAGGACTCCCTAATAAATCTCCTCCATGCTAATCTGTTTTAGAATCTGCATCCTGGGAAACAACCTGCTTCCAATGGCTATATGGTGCCTTGCAGACATAAAACCTACAGCTGGGCATCTATGCGGGAATGTAGCAAGTGAAAGATAAGTGTAAGTCAAAGATGCCAGACCAGGGTAGCTAGAAGGATGATGGTCTGAGCTAGCCTGATTTCTACCCTGGACAACTGTACTAGGCTCCTCAGTGGCCTCCCTGGTTCTGTTCTTGACCCCTATAAGCTACTCTTCCAACATAGGCTAGAGGGATCATGCACAGAAGGAAATCAAAAGTCCTTATCATACCTACAACGCTCCATCTAGTCTGTAATCTGGCCCCAGATACCGCTCCATGCTCCCTATACTCTTAAGTACCCTGGCCTCCTTGACGTTCTGCAACACGTCAGCCATGTACCTGTTGGTCCCCAGAGGATCCCAAGGCTCCACCTCTCACCTAATTTAGGCCTCTCTGCTCAAAAACCTCTCAGTGAGGTCTCCCCAACTATCCCATTTAGAAAAGCAACCCCTCTTATTTTCTATCCCTTAAGTCTTTTATTTCTTCCCAAAGCACTATTTCAAGTTGACATTGACATTATCTACTTATGTGTTCATGTGTTGTCTGTTTCTCTACAATGAATGCTCTATGATGACAAGAACTGTGTGTTTTTCACTGTCATATCCCTGGCCAGAAACATAATTTATGCATAAATTCATAAAAACTGGGGACATAGGAGGAGTGTATTTTCAGCAGAAAATCTGAGTTTCATTTGCAGCAGTTCTCAACCTGTGGGTCGCAACCCCTTTGGGGGTCGAATGACCCTTTCACAGGGGTTGCCTAAGACCATCGGAAAACACATATATAATTACATATTGTTTTTGTGATTAATCACTATGCTTTAATTATGTTCAATTTGTAACAATGAAAATACATCCTGCATATCAGGTATTTACATTATGATTCATAACAGTAGCAAAATTACAGTTATGAAGTGGCAACAAAAATAATTTTATGGTTGGGGGTCACCACAACATGAGTAACTGTATTAAAGGGTCGCGGCATTAGGAAGGTTGAGAACCACTGATTTAGAGGATGTTAACTCTGAACAGCCACCTCAGGTTTCCAGGTAAAGATAAGGGAGAGGAAGTTCCGTGAAGTGTGCGGGGGAGAATGAGCTAGAACCACAGTTCCCAAATTGCTCTGGGGGGTATGAGTCTCATGAAAGGCTCTTTGGAAAAAAAAAAAAAAGAATAGCATGGTCATATTTACTCAATGGAACAGAACCCAATTCAAACAGGTTTAATAACAGAAAAAGAAATAAATAAGCAAAGAAAGAACAATAAAGAGACAGGCAGATGAAGATAGAGATGAGAGAGAGATGGGCAGATAGGTAGACAGATAGACAGATAGATAGATAGCATATAGCTGCCGAGGGAGGAAGGAAGGGAAAGGGCTTCATTGGCTTATGCAACTGCAAAGTTCAGAGGTCAGGCTGGGCTGCATCCAGAGACTCGATCAGCAATACCAGAACTTGGTCCTTCTTCATCCCTCAGTGTTGCTCTTCTCTTCGCTGAGGCAACTGTTTTCTCAGCCAGGCTCTTTCGAAATGGGTCACATGGCGAGTAGATCACCAGAACTCTTTCCAACTCCTTCTCTCAGCAAACCCAGCTGAAGACATGACTCTTCCACAACAGTTCCAAAAATATTCAAGGAATTGGGCCTCAGGAGCTGCTGTTCTGGGTTGAATTATGTGCCCAAAGGGATAGAGGATCTGATTCACTTTGTCCGGGACATGTCAGATATGCTGAGCTGAGCTCCCAGGAACTGACTGTGTGTCTCTTCCCAACTCCACATTCCAGGATTTCGCCTTGGAAACGTGAAATTGGCCATGGTGGGAGCGTTTACACCATGGACATAGGCAAATGCTGTAAACCAAAGCTATTTTTCTTAGGAGAATTGGCTGTTAAACACTAACCAGTGCCTCACTGGTCATATGACCATTCCTAGAGCCAGGAAACGGGGGACAAACCCACCAGAACTCAAGGACTAAGAATGGGGAAGGGGAGGATCCCCAAGGGACAATTAGGATACTGTTACTGAAAGAATGAGTATTGGGCAGTGTCCTCTACCCTGTATATGTTATATGATCACATCACATCATATCACATTATATTATAGTTAGAGATCCACAATAACCTAACAGCTCTAAAATGGCCTAAAGTGGTTTGGGTTTATTTAACTCATTATCACCCAAACTTCTCTGATTAGGGAGTCCCTTTTTTTTTGCACAAAACTGGTTAACTTCTTAATGTCTTTGCAAACTAGTGAACCAGAATATAGAGACACAAGATAAGGGAACTAAAGAGGAAAATATTATTAATATGTAGATCGATTGCTGTGTTAGTGGCTGGGACAAAATGATTCTTTTATGTTGTCCTTTCACTTGAATAGCAATTTAAAAATGCCTAAAAAGAAGAAAGTGTTGATTTTAAACCAACTGATACATCTGCATATTTTGATTTTTACTTTTAGCCACTAGAAAGGTTAAATCAAAGGAATGACACATTCCCTATATCTTTTAGGATGAATATTACATGTTAATTTATATTATTTTCATGAGCTATGATTAACATTGGGCCTTTGAGAAATCAAAGATTTTAAACATTTAAGTCTAAAACTTCATCTAGTGCAATGACAGGAACAAAAAACAAAAAAAACAAAAAAAAAGAAGGAAGGAAGGAAGGAAGGAAGGAAGGAAGAAAGAAAGAAAGAAAGAAAGAAAGAAAGAAAGAAAGAAAGAGGAAAAGGAAAGCAAACAGAAAAACAGAGCAATAAAAAACTATTTTTAGTTAATTAATAGGAATTTAATTTTAAAGCAGGAGTATTTTGGGCAACTCGGGCTAATAAAGCACATTCTGACCATGTCTTAAAAGGGTCTTAAAATGTAAACTTCATGAAGATAAAGTCTCCCTTGGTTTTGCTCCAAAAGTTTGCGTGCTTTTTCATGACCTCTCCCTTCTCCCTTTTGCCCTGCATTGCAAAATTAGTTAGGGTTGCATTTCTACCACTTGCAGAAATGGAATCTTCATTCACCAGCCTTCTTTGATATCTGTTATACTGAACACTACATGGAATGCTAACATTTTTGTTCTTTAACTGTGAAATTTTTTATTTTCTAAAGATGGACAAATGTATTGAAAATCCAGGGCTCAGAAACTGAGTATAATTATGTGTGTAAAATAAAGAGGTGTCGTAAGGCATAAGCAAAAAGAACACTCTCTCTAATCCAATGGAAGTGTCTGGGGGAGGTGCTCCTGGATGTTGGGGGTCTTAAACATAAAGATACTTTCATGTCGAAGGAAGCACTCACCCCCCAGAGGTAAATGATAGTGTTAAAATATGATGATGGGGTCTCAACGCAGAGGAGAGAAGCTTGGGAACAGTGGGGTGAGCCGGCCCCTACGGACACATGGTGCTTTACAACATGGCAGAACTCACACCACACCCAGAAGAAAGAGCATGTCATCTCTCTCGAGTGAGGACATCTGAAACAGGGATATGTAAGAGAGAGAGTTAGATTCAAGCCAACAAGGCAAAGTTGAGTTGCAAATCGGACTGAGAGATTGAAGAGCAGGCCTTTGGGTTGGGAAGGGCTTTGCATAGCTCTTGGTCAAAACCCAACTTTATCAAAGCTCCAGCTACAGTGGCAGCAAGTTGTAGGCGAGGTCCCAGTGAGGCTCCTGAAACTGGAGGTGGCAGGTTTAGTGCTGGCACTCAGAGTGGGACGCAGAGTCCAGTATTGGAAGCGTGGGGTGGGGAGCCAGACTGCGGTGGTTTGAATCACACTGTTGTCAGTATCTTTGTGGTCTCCTTGGCAAATGGGATGAAAACCCTCCCTGCAACTCCCAGAGTCGCTGAGAGAACAGAACGAGTTGGTGCACAGTACCAGGAGCGCTCAGAGTACTCATCCGTGTTCATTGCTGTCACCTGCAATGAAGTGTTCCGAACCCTACTTCTAGCCGGTGTTTTCCAAATCATTAAAATGACGTTGGAATTAGACTGCCATGTTTGAGCTTTGAGCTTTGTTTTCTTCATCTCTTCACCTCTAAAGTAGAACATAAAAAAAATGCCTAGCACTGAGATCATCTATGTTAGTAACCTGTTAGTAGTAATCTCCCAACCAGACGATCACATGCACAATCACCTCTCTTTCCTCAAGACAAAAAAAAAAAATCTGGCGAATTTGGATTAATTGGTGTAGTCCAGGTTAGGCCTACCAAGGTGGATACAAGGAGATCCTGTGAGCACCTGAGTTAGAATTGCATGATACCTTGAGTTCGGTAGTGTTAAGGTTTCTGTCAGCTCTTTTGAGCATAAAGTTCTGTGATTAAACCAAATCGCCAGAAACCCAAGATTTCTCGGGCTTGTCTCAGAATGAATCTCAGACAGACCTGCAGACTTTCCCTTTGAGAGTGGTGTCCTCAGTGACCTCAAGTTCCAGCAGGGAAACCATCAACAGACATGTCCCTGTTGACCAGAGCTGCCATAGTGATGGCCACCCCTACTTTCCGATAGGAGATTTGGAGGTGTCCCAGCTTAGAGACCCGAAGGAAACCCTGGGGACATCGCTGTTTCTGAAATTACTTAACTGACTCATTATTTTTCAGCTGCCCAATGGGTTAGAGACCGAAATAAGCCTGTTGGCAAATGCTTCACCATTGAAAATTCTTCACAGCCAGAAACTGGAAACGAAAACTCTCTCCTGGTTTCACACTTTGGTGATGTTCAGACCATGGAAGGCTGTGGGTTAAGTGCATCAGTTAGAATGATATATTCAAGGATTTAAGGAATTTGGGCCAATTTCGAACCACGCCACTATCTCTGGCTTGACCTCAGCTCAATTCCTTAATCTTTTGGCTTCTTCCTCCATCTGCTCAAGATGCCTCTGGCAACACAACTGAGTGCAGTAGCTGTAGGACTAAATTAAATAATGGGCTTTCTATCGCCACTGAGGATGGAGCAAATTGCTCTTTTGTGGGATCCATTAGCTCAACGGAGAATATTAGCCCAGGATTCTGGGTCTATGATGGACTAAGAGGAATAGGGTAGCATCGATTCTAATGTCTTGCTTTGCCTCTAAATGACTCTAGACAGCAGGTGAAGAATACAGGGGAAGAAAAAGCAAAGAGGGGACAGAGGAGAGGGCTTGGGAAGCCAAAAGAAGAGATGGAAGGCGAAGGGATGGAGGCGCCTAAGAAAGGATGGGAGGGGTGAGTGGAGACGCAGCAAAGAGAAGAAGGGCATGGCAGGAAGAAAAACAAAAGCAGAATTTGAAATGAGGGATCCGATGATGGATGAGGGAAGTGTGGCGAAGGGGACAGAGCAGAGGGGCAGGCAGGATTCTTATGGAAAGAGAGGGCTCACTCCACATCCCCGGCTCTCCCTGCCGCAACCCTCAGCTTCTGGCTCTGGGAGTTAGCTTTAACAGTGTGAGGCATTTACCTCTCAAAAGCAGAAGAAAGTTAAGAAGATTCTTTAGATGAGGGGTCTTAAGGACCCAAGGAATTAACTGTTAGTCCAGGGGTGGGCAAACTTTTTGACTGGAGGGCGTTTACCTCTCAAAAGTAGAAGAAAGTTAAGAAGATTCTTTAGACGAGGGGTCTTAAGGACCCAAGGAATTAACTGTTCGTCTGTTGAAGGAAGGGCCATTACTCAGGGCTCCCAAGTCAAACAATTAAGTGCAGCCATGTAGGACAGAACATGATAGGCAAACAATAAGAGCAATAAAAGAGAACAAGATGGTTTTATGGGTTCTTATAGATGCCTGTGTACTCCTCTAAGCTTTACTCACTAAGGCTAACAGTTTCTAATCCCCTCACAACTTCACCTAGCCCCAAAGCAAGCTCACATATCTGCTTTGATCATTTTAGGAGTGGAAATAGAAAATCATAATAATGATAAAAGCCGCAGCTAACATTTACTGCCTACTTCATATCAGGCTTATACACCACACATTTTTCCAAAAGGGGATGGAGGTGGTTTACAATAAAAGACAAATTATAAGAGGAGAGGAAAAACTATACATATACACCTTGGCCGAGGAAGACTGGCACACATTTAACACTTACAGCAGTAGGTGGTTTTATAGACATTAACTCTTTGTTCTCTTCACCACCCTATGAAATAGCTACTTTTAATAGCCCCTTTTTTTATGGAGAAGGAAAAGGGAAACCAAGATTTGACATTACCTCCTTGGCTTGCCTTCAAAGACCAGTATTAAAAAAAAGAAGGTGGAGGAGGAGGAGGAGGAGGAGGAGGGGAAGGAGGAAGAGGAAGGAAAGAAAACAAAACTCAGTAGGAGTCTGGCTACTTACTTTCAACAATAGCAATTTCAAAGCTATTCACCAGAAAAAAATAGATTAGCTTTGCCCCCAAAAGATCCCCAGAACCGTCATTGTGCAGTGTCTCTCTTAATTTAGTTCTGAATATCCCTCATCCAAAGACCCTCATGACAAATTCCTCTCAGTACAGAGGCCAGGAAAGACTTTCTCCTACACAAACTGTGTGATTCCTTCCACCTGGCAATGAGAATTAGGAAAACCTTCATTTCCCCCATTTCACTTGGCTGTGAGAAAGCTTGGAACTAAGTTTTGTGCTCAAATGCTATTGTTAGTCTCAGTGAGTTTTTCTTGATTTTTTTTTTTTTTTAAGTATTTATCTTTCATGGCAAACCACCTAAGCCTCTTTGGGAGAAAGCACAGTATAAGTAAACAGAAGACAAAGTACAATTCTGTTGGGGCCATGCTAGGGACATAATAATTTACCAAAATGCTTTACATAACACTCCTGAAATCCTTTTATCTGAAAAAGAGTACTCCAAACAGAATCCTGGGCAGATACTATTGTTCATGGTGTTTATCAAATTTTTCATGCCCCTCAAATAGCATTCCAAACCAAACCACTTTGGGTAAAGAACAGAACATCTAGAGAAAATTAGCTGATTGCTCTCATATGTCTTCTTGTTACAGGGATCTAATTAAAGTTTTGAATCTTGTCCAAAACTGTGCTCTAAAATAAACCAATTGAAATCTACATTTATCAGCCAGGCGTAAAATGAAGAATAGTCTCACTCATTTCAACCATTCACTGGTAATGACTATGCTTCATTTGTAGATTCCTATTTGGTTCCAAAATTTCTTCCAGGAACAAAGCCATATCTTGTCCCTCTGATTGATTAAACACCACGCTACATGTTGTCACCGTTGGAGAAGCCTGTCAAGGGCCAAGATGTAATTTAATAACAAAGCCCCATCATCGCATGTTTGCTGCTTTTGTGAGCGGCCCATTCTTTCAAAGAACAAAGCCTTTCATTTCCACAACTTTCATTACAGGTGTGATTTCCTCTGCCTCAGCCTACTTGATTTTAGTAATTTAGCAGCTCGACTACAGAGACTCCATTTTATTTCTTCACTCTATTCCTCAGAAACATTTAGTTTTTCTTTTAATTTTATTAAATTGACTGGGGTGACACTGGTTAGTACAATTATATATGCTTCAAGTGCGCACAGTTCTATAACATCATCTGTACATTGCATTGTGTGTTCACCATCCCAAGTCAAATCTCCTTCCGTAACCATATATTTGACCCCCTTTTTTCCCCTATATTGCCTCCTCCCCACCCCCCTTTCGCTCAGGCAACAAACAAAGAAGACAAACACTCATAGGTACAGATGACAGAAGCGTTTGGTTTTGGTGTTGTAAACGTGCAACTGGATAGAGCTCATGGGGACGCTGGCATGGACCACGTGTTAGGGTGGAACATTTTCTTCCAGGGAGCCCACTTAGTAAGTAATGTACTGGCAGGTGTATTCTTTTGCCCATTTTAGTCGCATTATCAACAGGGAAAAGTTATTTCAGAAAATATGCTTCAGTTTGCCAATTTAGAAATCGCTTTGTAATGTCATCCAATGGTCTCCATGAAACACGCTGGCCTGGGTGCCGGGGCCTTAAATAAACAACAAGTGAAACACACAAGCTGGGCTCTTACTGAAGGTGTGGCTGCAGAGCCCTGGACGCGGCAGCCCGGGGTTCTAGCTGGCACGCTTCTGAACTTCGCCAAGTTCATTGTGCCAAAGAGAACATCATCAAACGCGTCCGGCAGAGAGCGTAAACATCTTTCAACCCGATTCTGCGCCATCAAACGCTCTCCAGCTAATTTCATTTGGTGCATTACTCTGGAAGAAAATCGAGGCCAAGTGAAACTGCGGAAATGGGAACAATGCAGGGAGGAAAAATCTCACCCCATTAGGGGAGCCGTTTCTTCTCCGCACAAATAAGCCCACCACGCCTTGGAGGCAAGACTAGATGGCTCCAGGATATTCTTAGAATGCTCCCCCCCCTCCCCCCCGCCCGGGTCCCGTCCT